GTTGAATGTTTTCTCGCGTAACCCTAGACTTACTACGCCATTGTCGGGATCGTACGAGCCTAATCGACGGTAACTCTTGGCAATCTTTCGCCTCTGAACCATCGCTATGAAGTACAGTCCGTGGTGTTGATTGGTGCGCACAACGTCGCATACGTCGAGGATCACGTGATGCCATCGTATGCAAAAAAAAAAGAGGAAAAAGAATTTGTTGATCGGGTTATTCCACATTTTTGCTTACGACGCTTAAATGTAACATTTATTAGTCGAACGGGCGACAGTTACGAGCGATTAATCGAGAGGAAAGATTAAACGAATTCAAAACTAAACATTATGCCCTGTTACAAAAAGAAGCGAATGCGCATTAAAGAGCATCGGTCTACGCTCGAGTCACGTGACTTGCAGAGTGAATGTTTATTATGCAAAGTCGATCATTTCGTAATTAGAGCTATCACATTAATTAAGATTATATGACGTGATTCTATGCTTAACTTTCTTCGTCTCCATCATCATGAATGAATCGACTATGTTTCATATATGAATGATTATTGCATGAAATTAAACGAATTTAATGATTCTTCGTTCTTTTACGGTTTTTTTTTATCTATGGTGAATAGGCACGTATGAATTAATTATTTAGAATATAATATGAATTGCCACGTTTCACGACATTAGAGGTACGTTTTACAAGTTTTTCAAATTTTTTAATAGCCATTTCAAAGTTCCAAAGGACGTCGACGCTCTAAATTTAGCCAGAATATAAAAGTATTAAAGATCTTACATTGATTTACATATATTTACATATATTACATATTTACAAATTTATATATTTGTATATTATCCTTCGGAAGAAAGTTATTATATTTCGAAAAAAATTGAAAATCTTTATTCTTAGTTGTTTCTTTTCTTCGAACTTTTTTTCAAATTGTTCAATAAGAATAGAATTTACTTTCGATGCTAATTAAGAAACGAACTGCGTTTTTTCCCTTTGCTCTTGAGGTATCTAGAAAAAAGAGAAAGTGCACCAAGAAAAAACACATTTTTTTATTCAACATTACGATCCATTTTGTCTTAAGTAAAAGGCAACTATCATGTGCCTTTACAATTTTGTAATTGCGACAAATTTTCCACTCTTTCTTGGTCTTCCGAGCAGTGAAATCTGTAGCATCGAATCTGCCATGCGTGTCGCGGGATCGCAAATACAATGGCGAATCAATCGACCATGGATCCACTTTTTTAGTGGTAAAAAAATTATTTGCATTCCTGCGTCATCGCAGAGATTGCATATTTCTCTGCTCAAAGAAATTGATAAGTCGCTGAATAGAATTTCATTTCTTTAAATGGAAATAATTAATTCTACCTTTATTGCGTTCACCTTTTTTACTTTTTCCACATACATTTTCTCTAATTTTTCTTCCTCTTGATTAATTTTTTTCTTTTTTTAAAAGTTTTCTTTTTGTTTAATTTCTGTTTGATTTCTGTGTCGATTACAGACCCAATAAGATGGTGGACGTATTGTCTACGCGTCTGCAGGAGGTGTACGCCAAATGGGAAACCAGGACGGAAGTTAGGCGAAATGCGGAACCGACAACCACACGATTTTCATTGGATGGTAACGGCGTTTTTCATTTCTTTCATTTCAAAGCTATTTTTACGTAAGACTACACGTATCGCGTGGGTATACAATTACTATCAATCGACGACCATCATCGCGAGCGAGCGATTCCAATTATTCTCTTGCGGCTATGTTTCTTCGAGTACGAAATGCGCGTTTTCCCGGTTGGAAGATAAAAGACATTCTCATTTAATGCAACGTTTCGAGTCGTAAATGCTATTTCTCGTGCGTTTAATGGATCTAAAAATGCGACTATTGTACCATTCGCTTTTCTTTCGGTCAACACGAGTGAATACGATTTTCGCCATCTATCTATTATTTATTTGTATCGGTGGTTCTGTCTTCAGCTTTTAGTCATCAGTCTTATTTCATATTTTTAATTTGATCTTATAATCTCCTTTATTTCTCATTAAATGTATTTTTTTTTTTTTTAATTTTGTCTTATCTCTTATTCTAAAAACATGAAACGTCAGAACGCAGAAAAATCCTCCGTCATAAATGACGAAATCTGTACGACCCACCTGTCCCCCCCCCCTCCCTTTCCCGTTCGTGATGCTTCCCTTTTCTCTTGTAACTAAACGCGATTCGTTTGGGATTGCAGAACTTCGACGAGCCGGGCAACAGTATCACCGAAGGAAGATTCAGGATAGGGAGCAGTCGCGTAAGATACGCTACAACTCGTTGTTCAGCATCAAGGAGACTGAGCCGTTGGTGCCTTTGACCAGACAGAGGTCCTCGTTCCTGCATTACTGCTGCAAGACTTGTACGCCCGCTTCCAGGGTGAGTTTTTGCCCTCCGGGCAAGCTCCGCCCGGACGTTTGCCGCGATTTCTTCGTCTTCTCGACGAGACGCGCGAACCGTTGCCAATCATCAGGCGTGGACCAGGCCTCGCGTGTTTCATCGCCAATTCTAGCCCGATCTTACGCGCGTGGGCGCGCACCCGAGTGTTTCCCTTGAATTGATGCAGCCGATTAACCCACTTAACTTACCGAACTTATAACTTATTAAATACCGGCGACCTTACTCCGCTCCGCTCCGACTTTGATTGTCCGTTCTTAATAAATGTTTCCCGTTTAATGAACATTTGAGCGCAGGTGTGATGCGTGATATCAGGATCCTACACTGAATTATCATAATTATAATTTTATTTACTTTGGTATTCGAATGAAAATTATTTAAAAAATTTTTTTTTCCTCCAATTTTTGTGCTCGTCGTAAAGAAAAAAAAAAAAAGAAAAACTTTTTTTTTTATTTTATTTTATTCGTCGATTTGATTCCAAATGCCGAGAAATTTTATGTTTAAATAAAATTTTTTAATCGCAAGAAATATCTTGCTTCTCAAAGCAGCAGCTTGGTTTAAAGCAACTTTAATTAGATATGTTAATTAGATACGTTTATTTAATTAGAGTCTAATCTATATTCAAGGCTATTTTATATTATATGTCAGAAGCTTTAGGATTGAATATCGTAATAGCAATTCGTTCTGACTCAATTCAAGAATCATTATCATCTTAGAGTTTGATTTGTAAAAACGATAGACGTCAGGACACGATTATATCGGTGCAGCCAAAGTCCGAGAGTAGTCACGACTTCGATCGGTGTTTCAGATTGCGAGAAAAGTTCGCGTATCACGTCGGGGGACCGTAATACTAAAAATACATTGAACCAAGCCGAGATTGTTCGGCCAGATGTTACACTCTTTAGTTTCTCAGCCGTACGGATTTGCAAACGAATTTCGCAGACGAAATCTTCTTTCCAAACGCGCGTCATTTCCTGCGATAATATGCAGCAGTTGTTATTTGCGCCTGAAAAGTGGACAGTGTTCACAAAGCATTTCGTTTGCACCTTTACACCTACGATCGCGATCTATTTTTAATACGAGAAAGGCTATAAAGATGCCTGGGAGCACACGGCGCCTATGACGACGACGTATAAATAAGTTCTTTAAGATCCAATCGACCGATTTCAAAGCTCCGACCGATTTCAAGACAAAATTTTTATCAACACATTTTTATCAGTTTATATTTAATTTATTCGAAATGTTTGCGCGTGTGCGTGTATCTGTGTACCATATATGTGTAATCGTCGCGTGTATGACGCAACAGCTGATCAACGGCATTCCATAAGAGTTCACTTTCAATAAAATCGAAATCTATAATCAAGCGTGAGTCTCGCGATACACGCAGGGATGCAATTGTTATGCCCTCATTATCTGATTAGAGGACAAGTCTTCTGTCACGTGTTTAATTATATAACGAAACTTCGGCAGCCTTTCGTCATTTGATCCTCTCATAGGATAGGAACAATTAGCACGCACGCACGCATGCATCGATGTGCATAGATGTGAACTCTGTACTGAGAACCTTTGATCTGGAAACTCTTAAGTAAATTCTGAAAAAGAATAAATTATCATAAACGAGTTTTGTTATTATTGTCTAATAATAATAATAAGTACACGCTGTATATATATATATATATATATATATGATATGTATTCGATATTCTGATGATAAGAGACATGTATGAGGAACCACGTGGATTTTTAACACGATGGTGGCGCATTGTAGTCGTTCGCGGATATCCAAAAAACGTGAGTCTGTAGTAATATAAAAAGATGATTTTATAACGTTTATATAGAATGTCTCAAAATTCTTTTTCAAAATTTTCTTCTGCTAAAAGAAGGAATTGACTTCAAATAACTAGTTAAAAGCACATTCGATAATTTTAAAACTGTTTACATATTCGAAAAATAGATATTAATTAACTATCTAATCTATCTTTTATATTATCATACATTCCTTCTTACATATTTTTTTATATTAATGTAGTTTGAATAAAAGAATTTTTTTAATTCTCTTTTTGATCTTTGTTTCAGGACACATTAGTAAAATCTGTGCTTAAACAGCAACAGCAACCGTTCGGTGTAAATATATTGGTGCCGAAACCAAGCTCTACGATTTTCTCGAGAGTATTCAAGTACCTATCCTGTGTCTTGAGCTTTCAAAGATTTGATTATCCTCTGGTCACAGAGACGGTAAGGTTTGCTTTCGAATTGTCGTCGAGTTTTCCACGAAGATAGCTACTACTATACCTTTGTTACAATCACGCTCTCGCCGTAGGTTCTGAACGATGAAAAGTTGAAAGACGCTATCAAGCTAACCGCATGGGAGACAGCTAATAATGAGGGTTGCAGCGAGGAGAAAGCGTTCGCGAAAACGAAAGCCAGGGCCAGGAGCATATTGCTGCAAATGGAAAGTAGATGCAGCGATACTCTGCTCAAGATTGTCGCATGGCTGATATACAAACTGTTGCCCAATTTCATACAATCCGCTGTGATATTACCCTCTCAAGTAGAATTGCTGAAACAGGCGGATGATACTGGCCTACCGCTCGTGCTACTACCCCTCCATCGTAGCCACTTGGACTACGTAATGATCAGCTTCCTTATGGTTGTAAATAACATAAGGAATCCGTTGATCGCAGCAGGAGATAATTTAAAGATTCCATTTTTCGGGTAAGCCTAGAAAAAGAGAGATTACGGCCTTATATTAAATCTTAGATCCTAGTATTTATGAGGATATTTTTGTTTTTAATATGTTTAATATCGGTTGATAGTTGGCTTCTGAGAGGTCTAGGCGCTTTTTTTATCAAACGTCGCATTGACCCGGTGACAGGACGCAAGGATCTTCTTTACCGTGCAACTCTTCAAACATACATCATGGAGAATCTTCGTGCTGGATATAACATGGAATTTTTCGTGGAGGGTGGCCGCACAAGAACCGGCAAGCCTTGCATGCCAAAAAGCGGTATCCTGAGCGTTATTGTTGACGCGTACATGGATGGCACCATCGAAGACGCGTTTCTAATACCTATAGCGATCAATTACGAACGACTGGTGGATGGAAATTTTGTTAGAGAACAATTAGGGCAGCCAAAGAAGATGGAGACTTTTACATCAACGATCAAAGCCATGTGGTCGACATTAATGGGTCATTATGGTATTGTCAAAATTGATTTATGTCAACCTTTTTCTCTCAGGGTAAGCACAAAAAGATGATCTTTTTAAAATAAAATTTATTGCATCGATAATATCGAGATCCGTTAATGTAAAGAGAAATGATTTTTTAATAGGAAATGATAAAAACGTTCCAAGCTCAGCAAAGTAAATTGGCTTTGGGATCTCCAGAACGATCTTTAAAATATACTATGTCGAATTCATCTCTTTACGGTACAGATGTAATTGTAGAAGAACATCGTCAATTAGTGGACAGTATTGCGCGACATGTTGTTTACGGTGAGTCAAAATAATAATTATCATCTAACATTTTAGTTATTGAAGTAAATATATCAGTTAACATATATTGTTTACATAGGGTATATACCTATTAGTTACAAGATAATAATTATTCTCACAATTATTTTTAAAAAATTAATTTGTATTATCATTATCTTTCAGATTCATCTAAATCTATGCCAATTATGTCAACTAATGTTGTTGCATTTTTGTTATTATATAAATTTAGAGATGGTTGTACATTGGATAAATTAGTTGAAGCGTTTGATTCAGTACGGCAAGAGTTGGAATTTAGTGATAAGAATGTAGCGTTTTGCGGAGAAAATGTTGATATCATTAAACATGCGGTTAGTATTAATTGACTATTAACAATTTGCTTGTGAAAAGACAGGTTTATTAATTACGAGATTTGTAGCTGGATATCTTGGGTCCGGGCTTAGTGACGCAACAGCGACAGGAAATCACTGAAGTTGTGAACGATCAATCCTACAAGTCGAACGTCGTCATAGCGATCCGTCCCGTATCGATGCTACCAAATGTGATCGAATTGTCATATTATAGCAACACTATGCTATTGTACTATGTTATGGACAGTATAGTAGGTAAGACGCAACGCACAATTAGTAAGCTGTGTGTGATTTTGTAACGCAATTTTATATTTTTCAGTAACTGCTTTGTACGCTGAATTACAATCTCAGATAAATGACCCGGTTGCGATTGCCGAGAATAATATTACAGTGTTCCAAAATATTTTGCTCGAGCGAGCGCTCAAATTATGCGATATTCTGAGGTACGAGTTTATTTTCTGCAGGCCGTGCCAGGAACTCGCAGACGTAGTTCTCGAAACAATACAGAATCTTTCACATAAGGGTATTATCACTCAAAAAGAGGTATGTTTATGTATATCAATAGATAAACGAACAATCTCTTGAGATATAATAAAAAAAATTATTTGGCAGGAGATTTATCTAGAAGACGAGCTTTGGAGTAAAAGATATGCAAGAAATTTTGATGATAGTTCGGATGAAGAATATTCGAGAGAACGGGACATCCAGAAGATTGAATATAAAGTAAATTATTTTTGTATTTTAAACATTACTCGTGTGTTTCTTAATTAATAATGTCTATGTATGAATAATATAATCTAACATTTTAATGTTGATATTGATTAAAAAATCCGTATATATATATATATATATATATATATATATATATATATATATAGAGTTTATATGTTAAGAAAATAATCTTACAAGTTTTATTCTTTTTAATTTCTAGCTGAGTTTAGCGCCAGAGCACTCCAGTTATATGGAATTCTTACATACAATGCTACGTCCGTTAATTGACACATATACATGCAGTGCTTCCAATTTTAAGGAAGTTGGTCGACCGATCGTTTAGCGAGCGTGATTTAACCCAAGAAATATTGAGCGAAATCAAAACGAAAGTGGACGATGGTATAGTTAGTTATGGTAAGTTATATATTTAGTAATTCTAGTTGTACTTGGATATAATGTAAAATATAATTATTTTATAAAAATTCTGTTGATTGTAGTTCCATTGAGTGTATTGAAACTAAACTTATATATAAGATAAAATAATATTTAATTTTGAATTATTGAATTAATAAAGATGAAAATGTTTTTATGTTAAAATAATATATAATTTTTTTGTTATAATAGGAGAGAGTTTATGCGTCGATCCGATAAAGAATTCTTTTAGACTTTTTGAAAAATGGAACATCCTTGAGTGTCAAATGCAAGAGAAAGTTAAGATATTTTACTTGAAAGAAGATTACGATACAGATGCGGGGATGAAAAATGTATACAATACTATAGCAGTCTTTAAATGGGCCAGAAATATGGATTAAAATGATGAAACGTGATATTTTCTATTTCAGTCAAAGAAAATGTTTATAAATGATTATTTTTTTATATATAAGGATATTTATTTAATATTTCCCTTAGGATTATACGACACACACATCTAAAACTTAATCTTAATTCTTAATTTTACAATCTAATACTTAACCTACATTCTTATATGTAACTTAATCTAAACCATACTTTTCCCTTCCTCGGACTTTCGTTTCCATTGTATCTCTTTTTTTCATTTAACGTTTCTATATTTCCACTTTTTGTTTTCTCTAATTTCTTTTCCGTTTTCCTCTTGAAATTAGAAGTAAGGAAAGTTATTAAAATTATAGTTATTAAAGTTATTAAAATTTTAATGCGTTCAGATTCAGATTTCCTATTCTAATGGCTAAGTGTCATTTTATTTAATGTTCGGTGACAACAAGAATAAAATAACACAATAGAAATCTGAACGTACTTTAAAGTACTCTAAAGTTACAGATATTCTAGTGATTTTTCTCACTTTTTTAATTTTCATCTCGTTTCAAGATACACATCACTTCCTCGGTAAAAGTTACTTCGGAAACGGAAATCTATTATTTTTTTTATCTTTTTTTTTAGAATTTCATGATACATATTCTAATGTTCGACGATGATTCTGGCCAACATAATCGAATATATCTTAAGTGCATATAACTAAAGACATAGAATATGTATTTATAAGAATATATTTATAAGAATATATAAGACTATATATATTTATAAGAATATAGCTTGTATATAGCTTCTTTAATCAGAGAAAAATATAAGAATTTATGATTATAGTATATCATTTGCGAATGTTCCTAAAAGCATACGCAACTCATATCTACAATGTGATTTAACTCAAAATATTTTGTAATGGAGAACTGTACAGATAAAAAATTAAAAGAAAATGTTTGGAGATATTACTATATTAAAAATTGTGCTTTTTTTAATGAACAATGAAACAAGTCATAATATATATATATATATATATATGTGTATTACTTTTTTTTAAAGGGAAAGACTAAAATTTTTGCACAATCGAAAATATCAAGATAGTCTAAATTTTAAAGATTGATTTAATGAAAGTTACAGTTTTGCTAAAAAGTTCTTTATATGTATAAATGTCTGCTGTGATAGATTAAGTAAAAAACTTCATGTCCCTTTTAAAATTTATAAAATTTATTCATAATCTTTTTATTGCTTATTTCATTGGTTATTAAAACATTGTTTTTAGTAGATAATATTTTCAAACGTTTACTAAATTAAATGATAGATCTAAGTTGGTTGTAAAAATATTTTACGAATAAATAGACAATACTATATATCACAAAAAGATATTTGTAGCTTTGTCTTGTTAATAAAAATAATATTGCATACATTTTAATTATCTCTTTTTTGCTTTAATATCATAACATTTGCAATATACTTTTTAATATACATGTAATCTGTGCATAGTAAAATTTATAAAAATGCGTCTGCAATCTAATTGTCTCAGTATTTTATAATCGATAAAATTGGGCAACTTCTCCTAAGTCCCATGCACTTTTCTCTATCAATAAATAATGCATCAATTTTAGATTTCAAATCGCTTTCCAGATTAGATCTATTGCGCAAGAGTTGCTGATGTTGTGCCTCCAAGTGTTGTATCTTCACATTCATATTGTTTAGCATTTTATTAATATCTTCTACTTCTTTGATTATCCTAAACATGCAAATGTTATTTAGTGAATAGTAATATACAATAATAATATATATAATTCTAACAAACCTGAGATGGGCATCATCCTTGCACAATTCGGTCTCAGGACGATGCGTCCTGGCTTCCAGTCGTGTGTGCGCAACTTTCAATGCTAAACTTTTATCGGCAATGGTTTTTTGCATTAATGTTATGTTCTTCTCAACGTTACAGAGTTCTTTTTGAATCTAAAATATCCACAATTTCAAATTAATAAAATATTTATCTAAAAATCTTATAAAGATCTCGATCTTTCGATATTCTTTTTAAACCTTTTTTATAATGTTAATAAAAATTTGTGATATCATATTGTTGTATCTATATCTCCTGGTTATTACCTTATGTAAATGCGTTTGTAATTTTTCTTTTGCTTCTAACATTTCGTCGATTCGTCTGTTTAATGCCTTATTAGTTTTATTCCAAACTTCACATATCTCGTAATTTCCTATATTTATAGCATTGTCAACTTCGTTTCGCAATTGATGCGACTTTGTCCGTTCTGCTTGCGATCTCTTTATTGTATTATTTGCCGCTTCCGTCCAAGATTCAGGCTTAATGAGACTGTAAATTATTGCTACATCAGTCAAACATTATAGACAAGGCATATGGGAAAAAAATGAAAATGATATGGAATGATATATCTGATCTAATGAAATCAATTTATCTCTAAAAAAAGTTCTGTTATATCATTTAAAAAATCTTTTTTCTTCTCAAATTAAGTGCTACAAGAGAGATATATTTATATAAACAGAAAATTTTATAATTACCTAGAATCATATTTTTCTATACCACCATAATATTGCAAACCTCGACTAAAATTGTTCATCTGGTGACATACAGTGTCAATTCCTAGCGCCGTTTCCTTGTTCTCTATATCAGTTTGCAATTGATGTTGCGCAGCTCTGTTATCTGTTAACTAGAAAATAACATAGAATAGAAGCTTTTCGATACAATATTAATCGTAAATGTATAATGTATACCTGATTGTTGCATTTATTTATGAGTTGGTTCAATTTTTTCTCACAATTTCTCACTATCTCAGTTTCCTCCAGTAGAAATTTTTCAACCTCATCGTGAACCAGATCAATGCCTATATTGATATTAATCGAGTCTTTTAAAAAAAGCACTTCTACAAGATTTCCTTCATTTCAGGATGTATGTTTGTATTTCTTTTTTTTAATTGATTATTTTTCATTTCTCGACCTATTACATCTGAATTCTTTATAATTCAACCTTTTCTCAACTCCCGATGATAAAGACATTCTTGTGCAATATGTAACTGTCCCTCAAGATTTTGAATCACAGTTTGTAGACCGCGACGACACTCCTGCATTTTATCATTTTCTATGACTAATCTTTCCAATTCCGATGTCATCTCATTCCGCCAAAAAGAGATATCTGTAATGCTCTCCCCAAGTTTTCGACTACTTTCCATTTCTCCTTTCTGTACCTTCTCATCGACCTCTCTAAGATAATTACAATATATTACAATAAGATATATTACACTAAGATAATCTAAGATAATACAATAATATATTTTTTGGAAAATATCACATAATTCATTAACGATTAATTTTAGATTACACTATAAATAGATTTAAAAAAATAAATTTCAAATCAGCTTTAATGTAACGACATTAAATCGAGTTATTTTCTTCAAATTCCTTTTACACAAATTATATTTTAATTTTGAGCATCGAACAGAATATTAAATTATCAATAAAAAAGACTTTTTAGAATAAATTTTAATGCAACAACTTTGGAACAAAAGTGCCATTCGATATTAATCAATATTAAATGTAATATTAATATATCACTAAATAAATATTTTTTATTAGATATATAAATTAAAGATTCCTAAATTAGGAACATTGAATCGAGTTTCAAAAATGTTCTCCTACCGTAGTAAGCATGCGGCATTTTTGCGCACTTTTTCGGAATAGTTCCTATTCGCGCTTGCCTCATCGTAGAGTTTGACTTGATTCTTTATCCAATCACATGGGGTGTATCGCGTGTAAAGCGCGGTAGAGGCTGCATGCGAAGGGTTGCGATCAAAACCAGTTATCAAATTCGGAAACTTTAGTGGTTCCATCTCCAGTCCATACGACGTGCGGCAAGCATCTATCAACAGATTCGTTATGGGCTGCGCAGGCCTACAAGAAAGATAAAATAAAAAAATTGCCCCCCCTCCCTCTAAAGTAAGAGAAATATTTTTTTCCAGATTTATTGGCAAATGCAATACAATAACTTTTTTCTTTGAGGCAAATAAATAAATTAGCTTTTCGTGCCAGAAATAATATAAGGTAAAATAATATATGGTAACAAGATTTTTCTGAACTGAAGAAGGATTCAGCTTTAAATGTTGTAAATATACTAAGTTACTCACAACGGAGTTGGTTCTACGTATTCGTATCCTAAAGTAGGACGCCAAGGATACGGTGCCCTTGCGGTTTTGTAAAATTCTCCAACTCTCGTTGTATCTACAAGACCAGTGATCTGTCCCAAACATGAAACACCAACTGTACTCCATGGTTGAAGTTGCTAGAAATAAAATAATAATGCAGCTATAAATGAACGCAATAAAAGTAATACAATAAACTTGAGCAATAATAAAATGAAAATAAATATGATATAAAGCAAAAATTTCAACAGAACATTTGTTTTCTTGCATATAAGATTATCATTTCCTTTATGTCTTTCATCTTTTAACCCTACATGTAATAATCGACAAAATCTGTTTAATTGAGAGAGACATTTAAATTTTTGGGTATCACATATAATAATAATAATAATAATTACGGAGTACATAACACTTTCGTTCCTTTTTGCGGTTTTAACGTTAGTCATGATCGCTTACAATAATTTCGTAATTCTTGTTACATTCAAAAAAGATCGAGACACAATTTCGGAATGCACAATACGACTGCCCTGAAGTAAATTGAATTTCACGACTTCAAAAACGCGCTCTACTCTGAAACAATCACTAAATATCAAACATGCAGGAATATTGAACGTTTAAGAAAAAAATAAAAAAATAATAAATATCCCGTTAATTTGCTTCTTCTCACAAAATAGCGAGTCGATTTACATAGTCGAAAAGCAAATACGTATGATTTTTATCGTCCGATAATGTGCGGTTACACGAAAGGAAAAATTTCTCGCTTTTCTTTTTAAATTGTATAATATTTTGATATATTGCGACATATCACCGCATGGCAATATCATTACGAGAATTCAATATGCTTTGCTAGATATACGATCATTCATTATTGATTGATGAAGTAATCGATGAGGCTTCACATCCTGCTATGTCTCTCGTTAGCAAATTAGCCGGAAGCCAACGAGTGTCACGGTCGCATAAACTAATTTCATTTAGCAATGACGCAAGTAATACGGTTTGCTTTTTTAGACGTCATCGTCACAACGATAACATTCATGTACAAAAATAAATTTAAATGAAAATGAACAATATACTTATAAAAAATATAAGTTATCACATCAAGATTTATATTATCGTTTTTTTTCCTTCCTTCTTCTACTGTAAAGTTAATTGTTCTTCTATTGTAAAGTTAATTAAAATGTTCATTATACAATTTGAAACGCTTTCCTCTTCATTTGCACAAGTGTAGTAAATGAAAATAAATTGTCTTTGTCTCGATTTCTCATACGCAGTTAAGAAATTTGTGAGATGATAATTAAACGCAATTAATTTTATTTTGGTCATCTAATTTTTTTTTTTTGTAATTTTAATCAAGAGATATAAATAGCTATTTCATTATATCATATGCTCTAATTGCACGAAGTTCAAACATTTTGCAATGATGGCAATGAAGAAATAAATAGCGAATTTTGTAACAATTAATTTTTAATCTATATCGAGTAAAATATTTTTTATTCCCTTTGATAATACTTTGAAATACTTATTTTTTTTCTTCAAATAACATAATTTTTTTTTTTCAAATTTCTATATATTATTAATATTTAATCTTCAAATTCAATTTTTTATTGAAACAAAATATTATATAAGAAGAGGTTATTCTAATATATTTTATATCTTTGTTTCGTGTAAGAGTATTACTTTCTCAATTACACGAAACATTTACGTAAGATCGAACAAAAATGAAATATATATTAAGATTTCATAATTCCATTTTAATACGACTAATGTAGCAAACAGATACTCAACATTCACTTTTATCCAGTTGTGCATAATACAATCTGCAATTTCATCATCAACATTCACCTTTGTTTGTTTGTTAAACATGTAACTAACGGTATATGCGTGTATAAAAAAAAGAACAATCAATTGTCCTCGGAATGATAAGGTCATGATCATCCAGAAAGCTACAATTGTATATTTGGAGTATACATTACATTTCTAAATTTATCTCTGTTTAGCGTATCACTCGTGGAATATCTCAATCGACCTCAACTTCTGAACTACTGAAATAATACGAGCGAGAAACGATCTCCGAAGAGAGTCGCCAAGTGAAACGCTTCACGCCGGCGCAGAGCCTTTCATTATCCTTCTGGGATTGAATCTTCTGAGTGATGTTGCAATGTGCGCGGGCGTTTGAAGCAAGGAGTCCAATAATGTATAAAAACTGCAACTGCATCTTAGATCTCTCGTGAACGGCATCTTAAGCACATCGGTATTGTGTGCCATTGTCCTTAGCGGAAAATAAATCGGTCTATACGTCTATACGTAAGAAAGTGTCACCATGTGAGTCCTTCTATCCTTTTTTTTTGTCTTTTATTTTTGCCTTTTATTTTCCGGATGGTGGAGATAGTGAATTATTTATTCCAGTCCACTACGAACTGTCAAGCTCAAAATAATTTCGACAAACGAGCAGTCTGTTTCATATGTAAATAAATGCAAGTGCTTAAAGCGAATGCAATTGTTAATAATAGTAGATAAGATTAAACAATTATATATCCTC